GTGCGCATCACCATAGAGGTAATGTATATTTTTATCACAGATACACAAAAATAGGACATGAATACATAAAACATCAGTATGTGTTTCTGTTATTGCAGAAAAAGGCAGACCAACTGGAGATGACAGTGGGAGAGTTGTCAGTGTGGGGCGTTCAGGGAGGTGAACAATTCCCCTGCATCATGGAAGCCAAAGAAACCAGTAACAAGACTGACTTCTTTATCTGTGAGATTCAAGGGACACCTGACGCTGAGTTTCAGCACTTAACAGTAAATCTCTGTAAATCACCTGAAGTTACACATTAATGTTATTATGATAATTATTAAAAAGTTACAATGTTAAAAAGTTTAAAAGTCCTCTACTCCTTCTACTTCATTAAAAATGCCAGAATCTATAAATATGTAAACTTTGTTCATTTCTAAAGTTTTCCTCCTACTTTACTGTAAAGTGCATTCTCACTGGATGCGCACTGGAGGCTTCAAGTTTCTACATCATACTTATATAAGTTGCATACTGGACCAGGGTTAACTTAAAATCAGATTTTCAATGAGCACAGAGGAACTTTCCACTTTCAGCAGATATATGTGAAAACAACCTTCTAGTGTCAAACTGTGCACATAGATCATTCAAACAGCACATTGTAGGAACTAGAAGAACAATGGATTTTTGAGTAGTAAACATGCATTTGTGTTCTGTAAAATTCATTTCAAACATAGTGATTATTGCTTTTTCACAGATAAAGTATGGAGACAAGACAGTAACCCTGAACCTTAGGTCTTCGGTATATATGTTCTTTCTGATGCTACTTGCCCTTCTGCTGATACCCTGCATTATTGTTGGTAAGTACTCAAAGTAGGTTTGAGGGCTTTAATCCACTTTGGTCCACTACCAGCCTCAAAAACACACATACAGGTCAAACCATAACAGGAAAACAAAATTTGTCTGCTTGGTTTTGTTCTTCAGTGGTGGTGATTGTGTATCGGAACAAACAGAAGAAGCTCACTCATAAGATGAACAGGCTTATAGAAGACCTGGAGCTCGACATCAGGAATGACATAAGGCAAGGTAAGTCACAAACTTTACTATCTTTAGTGTTTCAGTAAGGTAGACTGTAGGCTTTTTTTAGTTTTGTCTCTCCCTACAATGGATTCCAATACTGACCAGTTTAAACAGTGGAAAAAAGGATCATATTTGGAGTATCAAAACTTCCATAGAAACTTCTCAAGCCACTCCTGCATTATAATCTACTTATCTGCTGTAACTCTTTATACTCATTAAGTGCTCACAAAAAAAAACACAAGATAAATATTAAGTTAGCAAGAAGTGAGCTTTCCAGAATTCTGCATCCCACCCCTCATCTCATCTCAAGGCTATTAGCCTCTACTGGCATAACACACCCGAAACTCTGACTGAACTGTTGACGCTGGAGTTGGATGGTGGGTAATGTAGGCACCAGGTAGTGAAAAGGAAGAATCATTTGTGGAATATAAAAGACGATATATCTTCTCCTACATCAATTTTGAAAGACATATATATATGGGGTCTATATATAGCAAAATACAAGATGGCAGCAGTGCCTTGATGACGTCAGTCAAGT